TTCTTCAACCTTCGGCCTATTTTTTGGAAATCCCGTTTTTAGTCATCGAACTTCAATTAAACTATATAGAGATGTTCTCCAAGGTTCATAGATCATTTTAGAGTTATCAAAACATATTTTTAACATCAAATTCAAGGTTTATGATTCTTGGTTCTTCAACCATGTCAAACACAAAACTCAACCAAATGGCCATTTATGACCGTAGAAATGACCTATATGAACATTCTAGTCATTAGATATATCTACTGGCTTACCTCGAAGCTTAATGAAGGTTTTGAAGATTTTACGGTGAAACTTCGGGCGACAATAGCTCTCAACTCCGGCGACCTCACACCAAATTGACAGCACCACTGTGTTCTCCACACTCAAAGTTAACTCTCAGAAGAAATTTGAGATGAAATGGTGAAGAATTGAGTTCAAAGAGTTGTCTTATATAGAGGAAGAAATGGAGAAGAAGCCAAGCTTGGTGATGTATCAGTCCCTGTTTCGGCGTCTCAGTGGGAAGGACTGCGATTTTCATGATTCCAAACGCAAGTCCCTGATTGGGACTAAATTGGTCCCAGTCGGGGAATACTTTTTGGTCCAACTTTCTCCGAATTGAAATCCGTTTGCACCGTTGCGGTCGTACAATTAAACTCTATCCAATGATATAATTTTTACATTTGTTCGTTATACTTTTCCAACATCATATTTTTGGGTGGTTGACTTTGACAGAGTCAAAATTGATTTGTTTGACCTTTACTCAAAAAAGGTGCTCATATTCAATTCATATTATTTATTTCCATGATTTATTTCAATAAATCATTTCAAAGTTCACATTATAAAACAATTTCTTCATTTATTTTTAATTTGCGTCTTTACACAAATTTCCAATCAAGATCACACAAATAGTCAACTAATTGGATTTATCTCTATGAGATTTATCCTGATTGTGATATTGGATATCAAAACACATTTTATTTCGGCCCAAAGCCCAACAATAATTTATTTTAATCAAAACAAATTTTGTTTAACTGAATATTTAATTCAATAAATTTTAGGGTATATTTTGGGGCGTTACATTTCTCCCCCCTTGAAGGAATTTCGTCCTCGAAATTCTTCTAAGGCTCAACGTTCAACATTTTTTTGTGATCGCATTTAATCATAACCGTGTCATGTTCATTCAGTTAAATCATAATCACGTCATTATCCACACGAATAGTTATTCTCAAACTATCGATGTTACGAAACTTGTTCTTTCTTCAAGAGATTAACAATCTTTGATTAAGCAAGACATTCAGTGATCCTTCAGTGTCAACAACTAAGGTTTCTTTGCAATGTATACGGTTGTATATTTGACATACTCGCACATAACTTTGTTTATTCACAATTCTCAATTGTACAACGTTGATTAACGATATTTCTTCTTTTGATTGAAAGTCCTTCAGTAGCCTTTGCAGTTACAAATTATCAAGTTCGCGATAGATGTAGTGGGAGATTTTCGGAGTTTGTCTTCAATTCACACATCATAACGTAAATTTCATTTTGAGATATATTCGTATCGTTCACATAATTCAACAATGATTCGAAAATACGTCAAAGGTCATTTAGTGGTCCAAGATTTTCAAGATATAGGATTTGTCATCATTTAGGAGGAAATACTGTCGATCGGTTGTACAGTAGTTCGTCATTCATCGACCTTATGTCGAAACGTTTCTTCATTCATCTTCATGGTAGCTCTCATTGTCGTAAATGAGTCTATGTACCAATTCCTATTTATACGTGATAACGTTCTAGTATGTCTCGTGTACATCTTGTCGTACCCAAATTTATTTCATCAATTTGAAAATATATTTAGATATGATAGTTGTAACACCCTCCGACCCGCAAACCCGGTTCATCGCGGTCCAACGAGCCGGAGAGGTTACGTAGGCGGTTTTTGAGGCCCGTCTACAAAGAAAAACTCTTGTGTTGCTTGTAACGGAAAACCCTTGATGTAAATATTATATAATGATGGAGATAAATTGAATTTAAGAGAATATTTATAGCGGAAGTAAATGTATATAAAACCGTTAAGTTTTTAGTAACATAAGTGCAACAACGGTGGGTTCAAGCCCAAAACATTTTCATAATTAAATGGATAATTAAACAAGTCTCCACTGCCGTTCATCTGCCGCTCCGATCACCCAATCGTCCGGGTCAGGCTCCATGATCCTCTGGCCTACCTGCGTATAGCAAAAAGGAAACAAAATCTAACAGTAGAACACATAGTACATTCACATTGATATAAACATAATCGTACCTGTACTAAAGTGCGGGATACCACTTATAAATTTAACGAACAAGAGACACTAATAAACAAGGATGCGATGCCAAATAGTCATGATGCATGGGTTAGACTACGCAGGGACACCCCTGCCCTTCGGTGAACATCCCCACGCGGTAGATGTGCCGAGGAACGCCTTAGTCATCCCGTTGGAGACTAGAAATGTGGGTGATAGCCAAACCTAGCTACCATGTACGTACACAAGCCCTCGATATGTGAACCCGCTGGACCCGTAGGTTCCAAGACGGGCCCGCGGAAGAGGCGCACTGGGCCTGACCTCTTGTCGCGGATGCAAAGTATGCCATGATCCTAAACATGCGTCTAGATGATATGAAATGCATTGATTGGAGAAAATGAGGTTATGTTCAACGCATACAACCATATTTGATTCCATATGAAACAACTTATTCAACATGGCAGACCTGGGTTCAGAACTGGCCGACAATCGACTAACTACTGTTGATAATCGATTGTCATGCTGTGCAGTTTCTTTTCCCAAGTTCCGCAGGCCATGACAATCGATTGACACTTCATGACAAACGATTGTCAAGGTATTGTGTTCAAGACGCCCAGGTTCAGAGAGGCCTGATAATCGATTACATCTATGTGATAATCGATTATCAGTAGAACCATCCCAGACTTGAGAATCTGCAAAGCCTGATAATCGATTATAGCCACGTGATAATCGATTGTCACACTCTGCAGCTTCCAACGGGAAGTTCCGCGCAGCCTGGTAATCGATTATCTAGCTCTGTAAATCGATTACCATGACTCGCAGCTCCACGTTTAGCCAATTTAAGTACAGTCCTTACGTTGGTAGTTACCGAGACAAACGTTATTGCTTCTACTTGAAGTAAGTTATGGAACTATGAGTTACCAAACGTGCAAATTAACAGGATTATAACAAAAGTCTAGATTACGGATAATCATGATAATGCGGACACTCACGTGTCTAGCCGGGTAGTCCTATGAGTATAACGATATGATTATACTACA